ACTTTGATGTTCCTCCTCCCCTCTGTGAAGCCTGAAGTCAGCTAAATGGCTAATGATATCTATCAAAACGCCTGCCATTTGAAATAAATAAATATTTCCTTTAGTTTTACTGATCACAAAAAGTATCTTTATTGAATAAAAACACGCAGCTTTTGAAAAACATAGATGACACAGGCGTCTTTCAAAGTGAAAAAATTTCACAACTATGCTTTTATTTTGTATATGTAATTTACCAAAAGTCTCGACTGTTTTTCAGCGCTAATCAATGCATCCGGTACAATCGTATCAATATAGACTTTGTGTCGGTGTAGATTTTTAGGCTTAATGACTGACTAGATTGGTTAAAACTGGAAAATAGAACAAATGAAAGTACTCAAGCTCCCCATGAGAGACAATGGAGAATTGCTCCTTCACCGAAAACTAGAGTAGGACGGGACTATTTTAGATCCAGAAGCTACCTTCAAACAAAAATCTTAAGTAGTGGGTGTCGTTTTCAAATTTCTGATCAATAGATGCACAGGTGACTAAAATAAAATATATGTTGATCGACTCCGCGTTAAAACTTATAAAAGCACTAAATGAAATTTGTAATTTAGTACTAAAACAAAATTAGCACTGCTACCCAATATTCAAGGGCATAAAAATTTAATTCAATAGGAAATTTAGATGGCAAAAAACTAAAATAATACCTGATTACTTGCAATGGCTCCGATTAGGGCTAGAAATGAGGTCGCGATAGTACCATTAGGTGGAGGCTGATTAATTGCTGGTAGAAGAGGAGAATCGTCAAATCGTTTTTCCTCTAAGGAGTATTGGAGGACATCTGTAATTCCAAGATGAGAACCAACGTGGGATAATTCCTTGTCAGAAAGAAGGCGATCACGAATGCAGGAAATCCATTCTTCGGGAATACGTGGATAAAACTTGCGCAAAAACCCCCTAATGTATCGGTCAGATACTGCTCTGCCTGTAAATATGAATCATGCCATGAAGAAATTTAATCTACGTGACATACCTTTCTCAGCCAACTTCGAATTATCCCTCAATTGACCGTTTATATCCTTGGAATTCGTGTAAGACGCAAATGACTTGTCAGTAAAGCACAAATAAAGAACATTCGCATCAATATCTTCCCCTATTCTGTTCTTAAATGCCAGAATTTCTGAGTCGTAATTCCAGGGTTTCCAAACTGAACGTGGTCGGTATGGTTCTGGGCCTTGCACAAGACGCCGTTCATAGAGATTACGAAGATATGGCCTGACATATCTTGCAACGCGTACAGACCTTGATACTATCTTACTTACTTACTTTATATTACGACTTACAAGTCAAAACTGGATTAGTACATCTTAGAAAACAGAGCATCTTGAAAATAGGCTAGGTGTGCTTGATATGGCCTTGACAACTATTCGATGCTGGGTTGTAAATTTTCGTTCACTTGCTAATACTTTAAAATTTAAGCATTAAAATTGCATTTTTTTCAATATTATCATTCCTCCGCATAGATTTAGTATTAGGTAAGAGATAGTGAAGTTTCGTATTTCTTAATTTGGCATACATCTGCTAGGTTCTTCAAAATTCATTCCTAGGAACTGCTTGCAGATTACGTTTAGTTTGGGCTTAAAAGTATTCATTTACAATAGGATACAGAACTGAAAGTGGATTTATAACACCATTATACGGGTTACAAATTAAGATGAAGTAAGTCTCGAAGTTATAAATGCCCAAAGTTAATAGTTGATAAAATATTAAGATCAAGAGTACGGTTAACCGCATGTTTCAATTACGGGCTAAATCTATCTCAAAGAACTGCTTACATTATATTCTCTTAGATGGCCTGAAATCCTGTTAGACATGTAAGCTAACAAAAGATTTTATGGATAAGGTTCATAGTTCCATGAATAATAAAAGCAATTAAAGATGATGGCACTCTGGCACTCTATATGTGTATTACTTCGGACTGCTTTAAATAATCACCGAAATTATTAAAATCTTATACGCCTTAAAGAATTACGGTATTATGGAACATCCGTTTGAAGTTGATTGATCGCTTAATTTTAAGTTGAATGAAAATGCAGGCTATCGATATTAAATTCAAGTCATTAATAAATACGCGATTTGACAGTTTTATCTTCCATTCTCGTTATATGGAAATAAATGGTAAATCATACTGCTCAGATATTTCAAATATACGATTGTCCATAAATGATTATATCGACTAATTAAATACTTAATGTTTCACTACCTAATATGATAGAAAACTTTAAATGAACTCGAAAATAATACATTAAGCTTATCTCCTAAAAAATTTTGAATAGAAATTAAAATATTGTGAGTGGATCTTAAATAAAGGTATTTCCCAGTGTTTTGTGGCACCTAAATTATTTACTGAATTTGAATTTTGCTTTAAGCATGGTATGCTTAAAAACCTCTTCCTATATTTTTGTCGATTTTACAGGGGAATAGTCCCTCATATTACTTTTAAGCATTGAAATGAATGTTATAACAATTTCGACATTTTTAATGAAGGCAGATGACTTCCGTCTGTTCAGCTTTTAAACAATATGTTCACATGTAAAGTTGCTCATTTGTCCACAACTCACTAAGAGGTGGGCTATTTATGCCAATTTATAAAACGTGCACTCTTATTTTGAATGAGGTCAAATTATAACACTTCAAATATAACATCTAATGTTTTAATATCTATTCTCAGATTTATTCCCATGGAAGCCTCGTATTTTGACGAATTTCTTTGAATCTTTTAATCTGCGCTATTAATTTCCCCTACCATTAGGAAAAATATAAATCTACAGTGTCTTTCAGCATTGTGACCTACTGACAAGAAATTCGACTTATTCGCTACTTTTCAAAGAGAATCTTAACCTTATAAATTTAAGTTCTTCAATGTTTGCCATTACAAGTTTAATAAAAATGAATTTCCAAAATGATTATTACCTTTACAGCAGCTAGTCAGCATGTGTAAGATTGTTAAGCATAGAGGCTCCGCACTAATCGAATGGATGGAATAAATCAAGTAATTCAAGTCGCTTGATCAGTGTAGAAGCGGTCATAAATTAAATTCTAATTTATTGATAAACAAATTAAGTTAACGACTAAAACATTTCTTCGTTAGATATTTTCTATGTCTTGGCATGACGCTGACAAAATTTTCTTTTTCCTGTGAATACTGTAGTCGAATTCTTATTGCCAGACAAACATTTCTAATCGCCTAGCACTGATAACTGAGTTCTGTCTATTGCAATAGGTTTGTAACTTTTGTATTCAAATTTTTGAGCCATATGTAATAATAATGCTTTCAGTATATCTGTGCGAGGTGTGCAGAATGCGGTGCAGTATCTTCCAAATGTTAATTTGTGAATAGCAGAACATATTATAAAAATAGTCATTTGTCTGTTATGTGACATATATCTTATTGTTTATCACTTTCTAGTCATTCATAGATGGCATTAATATCACTTTCGCGCAAGCCTTGGCATAGTCCATTGTGACATTAAAAAATCTAAGGATAATTGGTTCATCATTTAGTAAAATAATACCAATTTAGCCATTAAATTTCATCTTGCTGAAAATAATAATTACCATCAATTTTAATGAACTTACAATTATTCAAATTAATAACTGGAAAGGGGGGTCTTAGCAATAAATTGAAGGAGAAGTGAAAATTGCAGTACACGTTATGGCTAAGAATGTCACACAATCCTTTTAAATCAGCCATTTATTTTGAAAAGTATTTTCCCCAAGTTATTTTGATATTTACTTCCATTAATTAACATATTATAGCTTATTCTGACATCATTTGAAACGATTTATAGGAGCAGTGCAATGAGTTTAATTTATTTTATAAAGTTACTTTGTAATACATTTATCTATTTCAGACCCAAACGCATATAATAATTATATATTTATTCAAGTTCACAAATTTGTAATGGGGAATGATTTTCAACCCATATCAATAATGCGAAAAATAATATGAAAAATAAATAGCTCTTATTTAATTAAATTAGGTGAATTACATTGAATTATATTTATTTATTGTTTGCCTTAATACTTATATGCAATCACGCGAAGCCGGTCAAGCCAATAATTGGTAGTCCGCGTCCGTCGAAGTTCGTGCCCTGGTAAGATTTCTCTTTAATTTCAATAAAGTTCTGTTTTTTCTTCTTATTTTAACCAAGAACATTCCATATTTTATATGATTATGTATTCTTATGATATATTCCAACAATAGCTATATCGATGAATCTTAGTATGGGCTGGCATCGATTTCAGAATAACAGCATTGTGCCATAAAGCAAATAAATAAGTCCCCTATGTAAGCGTCTATTTCACTTCACCTACAATTCAAATATGTGGCTTTTAAGCGAATGGTCGTAGAATCCTATGATCAATATAATTATACATGCTTCTCCAACCCAATCTTTCTATTCGTTTGCCTAACTTCATTTTCGCTGTTTTGAAAAATAACTAATTCAAGGCATTTAAGATCGGTTTATTTACCAGGATTTATTTAACGATCGTTTTTTTTCTATATATTTTTGGGTCATATTTTTTGGTTACCGTTGTGTAATCTCTTAATTATCTACCCACCTTATATTTATTAGTCATAAATAATAATAATTAATATCTGAATGTCAGCATATTGAGCTAGTCTTAGTCATTGTTACAGGCCTAAAAACTCATTTTATGTCATATTAGACTAGTCACGGGGAAGAAGGAAGGGATCAGCTGTTGTGCTCACATGTCTGCATTATCTTCGCTCTGTCCATACCATTAATTTGCTTTTGCGTTTTCAAGTCAGATATCACAGGATGGAAAACATTCAGTTCACATGCAATAACTAGAACAACCAATTGCAAAGACCATTCTCGATCAATTTTTAGTGGCAAAAAGGAGTTCTTCAGTTACTGAGGCTCCAGTGTTTAAGTCTTAAAGGTTGTGTTCATATTTGAAGAAATAGGCGTCACTCAAGGGCGAAATTGAGATATTCCTTGATTTTTTAACTTTATATCTTCTCTTTTTTACGATAGAGCTAGATCGATTGTAGTTTGTGAATAAAAGACAGGAATAGTTTTTATGCAACTGTTTCTGATTCCGTTGTGTTTTAAATGCTATTTCGCTTGCACTATTTTTTACTATTTGTGTATGCTTCGTCCTTTCTCTCTGGTCGTGCCATTGATAAGAGTTCCCTGTTTTGTATTCCGATCCGACGTTTAATTGCCGTCATTGGAAGAACTTTCCTCTCTTCAATCCTTGCATTGCGTGAATGCTTTCCATATGAATCCGTGCGACTTTGGTTTAAAACTTTTCGTTGAATAGCATTTGTTTATCTAGAGAGGGCTAACATTTCCAAATCCTCAGAAGTGCATTTTGAATAAGCGTTTTACAGTAGGCAGGAAGTGCACTGGATTTAAAGATCATGTTCTGTGTTACCTTTTTCTTTTGAATAAAATATTTATTCTTATCCCTAAATATACATCGAAATCCTACTTAGAACTTCTGGTTTGGTAGATGGACAAAGTATTGAGAAATAGCTGTTATAAATAACAATCACTGAGTGAATGCTACTTTCGAGATTGGTTAACTTAAAATCACCATCTCTTTTTTGTTAAGATTGTAAATTGCTGAATAGCTTGTAGGCTTATTTGGGAATTGAATTGGCAGTACTTGCCATCCTGATTGAAACTGCATCAATAATTGCTTGACATCCTAGTAGAGAATTTGGCTCAATTAATGAGACAAATCATGAAATATGAATTTTGGAACGTGAACTACTCGTTTATTAAATATTGTTTATCCTGGTTTCAAAAGATCATATGGGGTAAGGCTCATTGGTGCGTTGTTCTCATCATTTTTTATTCTTCCCTCTTTGCTACCTCTTGGACTTTCTTCTTGCTGTTTTCCGTCCTTTTCCTCAGTTAAAATTATGAATTATTTGTTTTACTGTGGTTAATATTTATAGCGGCCTTTTTAAAATGCATATGCATGTATATATATATATATATATATATATATATATTGTCGTGGTTCAGTTTGGGCTAACGTTATCGTAATCTATATTGGTTTGTGGTCGTCGCCATTGTCTGTCTCAAGCGAAATATATTTCAGTTATTTTATGAATTCTTTCTAATTTAATTTTCTCAAGCCAGTTAAAGTCTCGTATTTTAGTGAACTGCTTGTTTTAAGTATTTTACGATATCTAGTGTTCGATACAAAAAACGAACTTTGTTTTTCACACTAAAATATACAAACGGGTCCACCTTAGATAATGTAAATTTTGTGAGAAATTAGAAAGGTTTACTTCAAAATGCGGTAATATTATTCCCACATTAATGTAATATTACCGC